GTCATCCCTCTATTCAATACCTTAAGACTTTGCATCTCGCCACAAGTGATGCAAATTCAAATATAAATGTAAGCATCCGCATGATGACAAATAAGAATAAAAATGGTTACGAAAGACTTTTCGTGATGACGAACGATTATCGAGAGAACTTGAGATTTGCTCCTAAAATGAGAACATAGATGGACATTCTATGCTGACGAATGGTTATCGTGGAAATGATATTGTTGCTCTTTTTTCCTATAAAAATAATTTGTTATGCCACGTCAATATGTATCTGGTATTTTAAAGATAAATGGGCTTGGAACGCCAAGCCCATATCCAACATCCAAGCCCAAAGCTACCAAGTCACTGACTTGTTGACTAGGGGATGAATAACTTGTTATGAGACGTCAATATATATCTGGTATTTTTGATAAATGAAAGTATTTATTTCATTTCTTGTGAAAAAGATAGATGGGCTTGAAACTCAAAGCCCACATCCAACATCCAAGCCCAAAGCTACCGACTGGCTTGCTGCGATACTAGTCATGAAGTTTATTAGTTCAAAAATGATAACAATAATGTTTTTATACAAAAAAGAAAAAAAAAAATTTTTTTTGACATGTCAAATAAATATAATAGACACATTTCCATGTAATAAAAAATTAATGTTAAATTTTGTGAAATATGATCTCATTGTGAACTTAGCATGACTACTAGTTAGTCGATTGCCCTATGATATTTAAGTAACATACACAATTATGACGATCAATAACATGTCAAACTCTATTTTTCATAAGGTTTACAATAACGTCTAATTGAATTTTTGTTTGGCATTTGCTAAGTTGGTCTTCTTTGTCTGAATTATTGTGTGTCGCTTCATAGTGTGTTATTCTGCACCATTTTGGTTCACCCTTGATCATTGCAATATATCACAAGAACTCAAAACTTCGTCAACTCAATCTTACGTAGTGTCTTTAATTAGGTGATATCGACATTGCCCCTTCAAATCGTTATAAATAACCACGATAACAGTGGGAGAATTTTTCTTTATGAAAAATGCTACAATTTTTTCTGAGTAATCTTTTGTACCACGTTAAGTTAGTGAGGTGCTCACGTGCTACATACACATTACACAAATAATATTGTATTGGTTATAACGAAAAATAAACCAAACTCACTTTTAATACACTTATAGCAATTAAAATAGTAATTAGCACATCCAAATCCAAATATTTAGACCATTAATAGAAATGTCTAATAAAATATTTCATCAAAGACCTACAGAAAATGCCATAATATCATTACCGTATTTATCTTATTATTTATGAAATAGTGGAACTAAGCCCCTGTTTGGCCCCCATTATTTGGCATTTTTGATAGTTGAAAATTTTTGGAATAGTGATTGATGGGAGAATGTGTGGTGGAAAAGTAATGAAAAGTTTTAGATTTGTGTGTAATATTATTTTATTTGATGAATGTGTGGTTGTAACGAAGAAAGAGAAAA